CCATCACCCGCGCTCGCGCACGGCCGCGCGTGCGCCCTCCTCACGGCCTCTCACGGCCGTCACGTGGTCGACGATGGAGTCGCCGCCGTTGAAGGACTCGATGTCGCCGTCGGCGACAGTGTGGACGCCCATGTGGTCGTCGATGTCGCGATGAACAGAAGGTACATGATCAGGGAAGGCACATCCTCTGCCTCCGCGGCCAGCTCGACGTAGATCGGGTCGAGCTCGGCAGCGTCCGTCGGCCTGTTGTCGACCTCCTGCAAGTTCGGGAGGAACTCAGGGTCCTCCGTCTCGATTGGATGTTCGTCATCAGGAGGATCAGGTACATTGTCATGAAATGGTATCTCTTCCATCGCAGCGCCAGTAGGGTCGTCCTCTAGCAGGTTGCTCGGATGTAGTAGCAGCCAGGTGATCAGCCCGACCGGCCCGACCTTGTCATCTGCGAGGGCGGGGAAGAGGGCGTGGAGAACAAGCAGCGCCTGGTGAAGTTGATCAGGTCCAAGAGCATCAGGGGGTCCAGGGGGCTTCGGCACGTCCAACTGAGGAGGCGCGGGCGACGAGGACAAAGCTGATGGCGCCATCGTGGTCGGAGAGGACGATGGGAGGATGTGGGGGATCAGCAAGTTGATCGCGTCCAAGGTATTTCGCTGGATCGCATCCCACAGAGGCGTCTCGTTCCAATACCAAGGCCCAGCGTTATCAGCATGGGAAACCAACTCCAACCCTTGGCCAGCTGCTCGCCCACGAGGAGGCAGCTGAGGACGGAGTAGCTCACTGGGTCCATCAGGAGGCGGAAGTTGAAGAGCAGGTAGCTGTCCGTGAGCATCAGGGGGCCGCAGAGGTCCAGGGAGATGCCGATCAGCAGGAGCTGCACCACACAGGAGTCCTGTCTCTGCGTGGGGCTCTCCAGACTCGTTCTGGAGCGACGACGGCGCTATCGTTGGAGTCGTGGCCGTGGGAGTCGCGGGGTCCGGCCAAGCAAGAACATCTTCATCGGCACCAGGTGGCGGGGGTCCATCTGAGGACGCTGCTGGCCACGATGGCCGCGTATGTGGAGAGGCCTGCGATGCAGCTTGCCCCTTCACATGAGGTCTGGGCCTGGGGCCAAACTTGTTGTCGTACTCGTCGTCGCTCATGAGCTCGTCCTCAAACGGAAGCTGAGGGTCGCAGCCCATGCGCTCAACACTGTCATTCATCGCGTCCATGATGCGGAGCTCCTCGTCCGTGGGGGAGGGATAGTCCGGGTGGGCAGCTTCATTATCGTCGGTGGGGTACTCGTACTCCTCAGGGTCGTCCGATGACGGCATAGAGCAGAGCTCGGGGGTCAGCGGGTCGACGTCTATCTGCTCCAGCGTGAAGTTGTGGAACCAAATCAGCGGGTTGGGCGCAGGTAGCGACGAAGGCGCAAGCGTGGACCGCCAAGTCGAGGTAGTAACCACCCAATGAAGGACACGGGCGCGGCTCGCAACCGCCATCCGCGACGGGTCAGGCCGCCGCTCAAGCACTCTCATGTGATCACGAAGAAGCGACAGTGCCGCATGCAAAGCTCTAGGGTCATTTTGGGAAATGCCTCGTAGAAGATGACGACGTAGTCGTTCACGTGAGGTAGCAGAGCCATGCCATCCCGCCAAGCAAATTTGTCCGGCTGCTTTTTTTTTCATAGCCTTGCTATGGCTTGTCATTCGGTTTGCGATCAAGGGGGCAAAGCCACGATAGTGGATCACTCCGAAGACGTAGTCCACGCACCAGTCCAGCCACGTGTTGAAGTCGCTCTGGGGCTCAGCGTAGAAGATGGAGGGAAGCCAAGACGCAGCCCAGTTGGTGGCTCTGTTGGTGAGCTCACGTCGTTGACGCTCTGCATCCTGCCGAGGAATGTGCGCATCGGAAGGCGAGGTGGCACGTGACGCACTATCAGAGTTCTGGCTCGCTGGGGAGACCGCCTCTGGGAAGCGAATCTCACCAATGTCTGAGGTAGCAGGGCAGCCGGCTGCGCCAGGTGAGCAGTGCGTACCCGCGAGACGCCAGCTCGCAGGTCGGTACTCTCTGCCTGACGAAGCCCCAAGCGTTGGCCCTTCACCAGGCGATGATTCACAATGCGTACAGCCAGCCAAGGGGGCGGTCTCATGATCGCCCACCTCAAGATCGAAAGCGTCGCCAATAATTCCTATGGACGGAAGTGTGGATGACGTACCTCCTCCATCAGACGAGTCAGCACTGCTGCTTGATGCGATAGAAGAGGTCGGTGTGGCCGACGAAGAGGAAGAGGAGGTTGACGTAGAGGGGACAGGTGGTTTGCGTCTCGCTCCCGACGGCTGGGGCCCCCGCCATGGGAGTTGCGCAACTCGCCGCGCACCAGGCGAAACGGCACGGATAGCAGCCAAGATATGCGATCGAGCGAAGGCAGGGGGCCAGATCCCAGCAGGAGCAGCGTGGGCCGCAGCATGGCAGGCGAAGTGCATCACTGCAACATCGAAGACGACCTTGCCGATGTCCACTGCGGAGCCGAAGAGGCCGAGGCGACCAAGCGGGTGGGCAGGACGAGAAAATCCAAATGCACCCTCGCAGATGGCACGGAACTTCGGGCACGCAAGGTAGTGTTTAAGCTGGTCGGCAGCGTTCACACACCCAAAGCGGCATGTCAGTCGGCCACGATTCCCAAGTACGCGAGTAGAGGTCGTCCACCCATTGGCAGCAGTCTTCAGGTAAGCCATAGCCCGCGATGTTGGGCATGAGCGAAGGTATGTTGTGATGTGAGGCCACCTTGAGGCTGGGATTTTGGGTGGACCATCGCCGTGCATGTCGGGAAAAGCGCGAGCGAGTCGCACTGCCAGTAGATTCCAAAGTGGGCGTGGAGAGAGGTGCTTCTTGACCGCCATCGCGATGTACCTCTGTAGTCCCATGCCCGAAGGGTAGGCGAGGAGACGGCTAGTAGTCGCCTGCCGGGCCACTGCCAGCATCTCGCGCGAGTTAACCTTGTTGTGGAGGGGGCCGCACTTAATGTTGAACAGCGTCTCCACGAGGGCCCCACTCCGCCAGAAGGCAGGATATAGTCTAGATGAAGCTGTCTGAGCGAGTGAGATATTGCCTCCTGGGAGGCGATGCTGACGGTAGAGCCAAGTGTGCAACCGTTCGAACTCTGGCAGAGTGCGGTACGCTGAGCGGAGTAAAGAACCAGTGCTCATTGCCAGCCAGGAGGAAATTGTCGGCCCCCCCGCTGCTCGCAACTGAAGCCAGGCTGGCATCGAGAAAGTACCCAACGGTAACCGAAAAGAGCGTGCCAATGCCACCAGTTCGCTGCGCACGAGCCACTGCGGCATCAGACGGAATTGAGCAACGTATGAAAGTACAGTGGCGATGCGGGTGTTGATGAACTGGCAGGCGAGATACAGGTAGGTGACTATGGCCAACCACTTTGGGTCGTTCTTGGCCTTTCATCGCAGGTGCAGTCCAGCACGAGTCCGCATCGGCAGCAGGGCCAAGAATGAGCCCAAGGTACTTGAGGGACTCAACGATGTTGATGCGGTCGAAGAAAGGAACATGTGTGCATAGTAGCGATCGCACCTCGTCAACAACCGCTTCCGATAACGGCTTGCGCAGCGGAGCCAGATTGCATTTGCCGATCCTCAGAGATAGCGTGGTAAACTTCTCAGCGTGTAGCATGATGTCCGCTAAGATCGTCATGCTCACGATACCCTTGATAGCGGCCCCAATGTCGTCGGCACAAGCCCGTGCGATACCCTTCCGCGGCGACTCAAGCTGGCGCTGAAGATCCACAAGAAATGGGGCAGTAGCTGCGGCGTAGAGGGAGCCGCTCAATGAGCAGCCTTGCACTATTCCAGATGTTACCCACCACGCATGGACAGGGACATTGCGAACCATCGCGAAGGCCTCGAGCTCCAAGTAGAGCTGGTCTATGGCGGACAAGAAGGCACGCGGCACCTGCATCTCGCCGAGCACCAAGTGCATGAATTGCTGAGAAAGACTAGGAAAGGCAGCTCCATAATCAAGAGCCACCAAGACAGGACAGCAGGATGCAGCCGACGGGGCATCAGAGTAGACCCTGCTGGCCGTGTCGAGCTCCAGAATGTTCACCCCGAAGTTCCTTCGCGGGATGACGCCTCTCTGGGAGCGAGGGGCCCAGGACTTGAGAAGAGTACTGAAGCGGGCATTGATCGTGGCCGCGATGATCTTGATGTCGGTATTGCGCAAGCCGAGCACTCTCACAGACGACGGCGAACGAGCGCACCCTGCAGCAATACTGTCCGCGGGGTCGTCGCCTCCCGGAAGCCAAACTTGGAGCGTGTCGTCGGGCGACTTGAATAACGCTTGCCCCGAGAGAATCCACACCATAGCATCCGAGAGCACTGAAAGACCCAGTGGAGATGAGCTCCACGCCGAGTAGGGAATGCCATCAAGGCCAGGTTCAGAGTGACGAAACTTCTCGGCAACAGAACGGAGAAGGGACGGTGTCGGAGGCGGTGCTTCGTCAAAACACATAGGCTGCACAAGGCCTCGTACATGATCGCGAGCAGCTGGAACATCGATTTGCCTCGCAGTGACGATCGGGGCCCAGTGTTCCACGAGCTTGTCGCGCATGTGAATCTCGTCGAAAGTGGCAGAGGAACCTCCACCTGATTCTTTAATGCCCTGGAGAACTAGCCGACGAGAAAGCGGGGACCAGATAGCCACGCGTCTCTCGAGAGCCTGCAGTTGGTGACGAAGTTGAGAGGAATACCTTCCACCCGCGAGCTCCGCCTCTAGGTGGCGGCGACGAAGGTCAGCATGACGACGTTGAACAGTTTCGCTCCACTGCTGGAATGATGGAGCATGGGCCAGCGAGACAGCGCCCGACGTGATGTCCACAGAGTCTCTGGCAGTCTGATGAGCGGCACGAAGGCGAACAGCAAGAGCAACGTCATTGCGCCAAACAGCACGAGAAAGTTGCCTCGCAAGCACGAGCTGGGAGCACAGGGCCTCGGGTTCGTCTCGGAGAGAGCGACCACGGATCCCACGCGCAACCTCTTTAACAGCCCACTTGAAGAGCTCGATCTGCCCAGGAGGTGAGCGAGACTCGAAACCAAGCTGCCGCGTGACCGAATTCAGCAGGTCCTGGAAGGCCTCCGACTCGAAGATGTGCCTCGGGATCTGCTGGTACTCTACTGGCTTGGTGGCGCCCTGCGAGTTGGAGCAGGACTGAGCTGCGTGGTCGCTCACTCCCTTCTCAGCCAAAGCTTCAGGAAGCCCCTGGACGCGGGGAACCGCATGAATCTGGCAAATGATCCAACCAGGTAAACTGACCCACAGTCTATTCAATGCGGAGACCGAGTGAGTGTTCGCGTCATAGTGAGTGGGCTCGTCGGACGTGAACTCAGTGAGCAGCGCCACTAACTTGGACCACTTGGCACCTTGTGCATGTTGGCCCTTCCCAGGGCCTCCACGACGACCAGGACGATGAAGAAGAAGAGGAGAAGAGGTAGCGAAATTGAAGTCCCCGTGCACAGCGACAGTGACTGTCAATGGCGAGTTTCTAGCAACATTGATGTTCGCACGTAGCGCCCTACCAACCCCTTGGAATTGGGCGCCGTCGATGCCATGGTTGTGTACATTGTAGTGAAAAAGATGGTGCCCCTCATGCTGCAGATGAAGACGGAGCACACGCCCAGGGACCAGTTCGTCAGGGTGAACCGAAGCAGGGCAGGATGCAGGCAATACTGTGGCGACCCCTCCTTTCACTAACGAATCCTCGCAGTGGGAAGAGAAGATCCGCACGTCACGAAGAGCTTTCCCAATAAAGCCCCGCAGCTGCACAGCATCTTGATGCAACTCTTGAAGACAAACCACTCTATTCACAAAGTCTAAACGGCGAAGGTAGTCTAGCTTCACTTTGGAGTGCGCTCCCTGGTATTGGAGAAGAGCGCGCGCATTCCATGAGGTGAACGAAACCATCCCGTGCCCTCGCTGATCACCACGAAGGAGTTTCGCCAGCCCACTAAAGACACCACTCAGCCGTCTCTGGTAGTGCCACGATTGCGGCAGCTGCCGCCGATAACTGCTGCTTCGGGAGCCCGAGCTTGGTGATGAGGTTGTCGGCCCAGTTGAACGTGGACGGCGAGTTGCCTGGGTTCGGGTTGATCTTGAGGATCGGGTCCCAACCCGCCATGACATATCCTCGGTCTTTGTCAACAAACCAACGTTTGGTGGAGTCGATCTCTTTGAAGGCGTCTCTGATCTTCCGAGCTTGCATTTCCATGCGAATCTGACGCGGATTTTTGTCAGGACCGATATGAAGAGCTGTGGACTGCCCATCTGCTGCAGTAGTCTCGAAACGCTTCCATTGGCCAGGGCCCAGCCGTTGAGCTGCAAGGAGGAGGAAGGAGGAGGAGGAGGAGGAGAGGAGGAGGAGGAGGAGGAGGAGGAGGAGAAGGAAGGAGGAGGAGGAGGCGGAACGAAGCATCTCCTGGGAGGCCGATATATTTTGTTTCCTGCCGGGCCTCCGCCGGCGGGGGTGGCCTCGCTGTGCTCCCGCCAGCCTTCCGCCGCCGCCTGCCGAGGAAGAGGCAGCAACTCCTTCGGCCCTCGAAGGCGAGGCCCTGTCCTGAGTGCCTCGGGTGTGCAGGTCCCCTCCTCTGCGATGGGATGGCGACGACGTCGGCACGCACGATGCGTTACCACGAGCTTCTCGGCTCGCCAGCTGGGAACTACTCAGATGGGCGCGCAGACCGCTGCGGCTGCGCGCGGGCCTGGGGCACGGTGAGAAGCCCGAGCCAAATGCTGCTACAGGCACTTCGTGAAATAAACAAGCAAGCAAGCAAGTAAGCAAGCAAGCAAACAAGCGTGCGTGTGTGGGCCCTCTCCTCCCCATTCGTTCCGTTCCTTCCCAGGCTCCCGTCGCAGCTCAAAAACACGCCGAACGCCTCTCTCGCCATCCGCGGGCGTCGTCTAGCAGGCCGCGTCCGCGCCCCGCGAGAGTCAGAGAACTGCCCTGGGCTGACAGGCCAGTCCCAAGGACCCACCTCATCCGGCTCACCGTCCGAGTAGCATCTCATCGTCCCTAGCCTGGTGCTCATGGAGCAACGCCCATCTTGCTCATCGTCCTCGTTGTTTACATATTATATCTTCTCTTGTTTCGCTCCGTGTCATCCTCCTTCTCGTCCTGATCAGCATTCTCCTCCTCCTCCTCCGCCTCCTCCTCCTCCCGTTCATCTTCCTCCCAAACCGACAACACAGAGCAACCCGGACGCAAGAAGCTTTGGATACGGTGCTTCACTTAGTCGCTTAGCAGCTAAAACAAGCAGTCTGCCGAGCAGTGGACACTCGCATACGCACTGTATCAGCAAGGAGAATATCCAAATCAACGAAAATGGTACGCAACAACCAGGGCCAAATAAACTCGGCATTGGAAGACTTGGCCACAATTGCAAAGCCTCTGCAATGCTCCATGCGACGCATTCAGTACATCTGTATGGGGTCTTCTCTGGGTAAGCTTGAACACGGCCGTCGGCATTCCACGAACACCTCAACATTACCACGACGCATGCCCCATGAGAGTGCTCCATAAACACCTCAACATTACTACCACGCATGCCCCGCCATCGCAGTTCAGACTGGGCCTAGCGCGGCACAGTTTGAACTCGGACCTCCAGCCTTCGAATCGCAGTGAACGTGACACTGGGCCAAGGATCGTGTGCGTGTGTGTTTGTCGTAGTTCACGCGGACAAGCTCCGAGCGAAGCACTGGCTGCCACGACCTGTGTCAAATTCGCTGCACCACCGCCGAGCTACACACCAGGTTGCTCCCTGAAGAGGCTTGGCCCCCGAGGCCGGCGAGAGTTACTGCGTAAAAGACGGGGCCGCTCACGGCCAGATCCCGCACCGGCCCGCCTGTGCACTCCCTTGGGGCGCGCAGACCCTGAGGTCAGGGATCGCTGGAGAAGGAACCTGGAGCCTCGCGCGGGCCCAAGTCCTACGGGCGGGTTCGTGTCGTGATAACTTGGGCGTTGCTTCCTGACACCGCCTGCATCGTCCAACCTCGAACGATCGGCGGCTCTTCGATCGTCAGATCGCTCCATACTGGCTGCTTCTGGGCCGCAGGCGGCGTTCATCCTTGGAACGCCCTCGGGACGTCGACACGGCGCGAACCTGCCGCAGACGAGCCCACGCGGTGCTCTCCAGGAGCCACCGCTGCTGCCCAGACCCTGGAACTGACGCCCCGAACCTCGTCGCCGGCCATTCGTTGCTCGATCGGTCGATGGACCTGCACCCTCCTCCTCCTCTTCCCTCTCATCCTCCTCCTCCTCCTCCTCCTCCTCCTCCTCCTCCTCCTCTTCCTCACCTCCTCCTCCTCCTCCTCCCCCTCCTCCTCCTCCTCCTCCTCCTCCTCCTCTCCTCCTCTCCGCCTCCTCCTCCCTCCACCTCCTCCTCCTCCTCCTCCCTCCTCCTCCTCCTCCTCCTCCTCCTCCTCCTCCTCCTCCTCCCCTCCTCCTCCTCCTCCCTCCTCCTCCTCCTGCCTCCTCCCTCCTCCTCCTCCTCCTCCTCCTCCTCCTCCTCCTCCTCCTCCTCCTCCTCCCTCCTCCTCCTCCTCCTCCTCCTCCTCCTCCTCCTCCCTCCCCCTCCCCCTCCCCCTCCCCCCCCCTCCCCCTCCCCCTCCCCCTCCCCCTCCCCCTCTCCCTCCCCTCCCCCTCCCCCTCCCCCTCCCCCTCCCCCCCTCCCCCTCCCCTCCTCCTCCTCCTCCTCCTCCTCCTCCTCCTCCTTCCTCCTCCTCCTCCTCCTCCTCCTCCTCCTCCCCTCCTCCCCCTCCTCCTCCTCCTCCTCCTCCTCCTCCTCCTCCTCCTCCTCCTCCTCCTCCTCCTCCTCCTCCTCCTCCTCCTCCTCCTCCTCCTCCTCCTTCCTCCTCCTCCTCCTCCTCCTCCTCCTCCTCCTCCTCCTCCTCCTCCTCTCCTCCTCCTCCTCCTCCTCCTCCTCCTCCTCCTCCTCCTCTCCTCCCCCTCCCCCTCCCCCTCCCCTCCTCCTCCTCCTCCTCCTCCTCCTCCTCCTCCTCCTCCTCCTCCTCCTCCTCCCCTCCTCCTCCTCCTCCTCCTCCTCCTCCCCTCCTCCTCCTCCTCCTCCTCCTCCTCCTCCTCCTCCTCCTCCTCCTCCTCCTCCTCCTCCTCCTCCTCCTCCTCCTCCTCCTCCTCCTCCTCCTCCTCCTCCTCCTCCTCCTCCTCCTCCTCCTCCTCCTCCTCCTCCTTCCTCTCCTCCTCCTCCTCCTTCTCCCAGTGGGCCTCGCCCTCCGAGAAATCCCCCCGACCCACCCACCCCCACCTGTGCGGCGCGCTGGGACGGCCGCGGCGCCCGATGCATCCCCCACGCCCTCTGGATCCCAGATCCCCGAGCTATCCGTACCAAATTTGTGCCCACTTCAGACCGTGCTCGCTCCAGACTGTGCTCGCTCCAGACCGCCTGCTGCCTGCTTGTGGCACCCTTCGAGTATTGCTAGAAGTGGTCCTGGCCCAAAGTGTCCCCAGCTGTGCGCGCTATGCAGGGGGCCTCCTGGGGCCTTCTGGGCCCTCGTGAGGAGTGCCTTGGAAACCACGTGCGCCTCCCTGGGAAAGCTGGGGGCACCTGGGGCCAGGAGCACCTCTGCAATCCGCCGAGCCCTCTTCCTGCCCGCGGTGGCCTAGGGCCTGTGATCTGGCAAGGTCCATGAGGGCCTCCGACGAGTGCCGCAGCGCGATCGCTGCACCAGCAGCAGCGCCTGGCCGGTCTTTTCGGATGGCTCTCCTCACGAGCACTACTCGGCTACTCTCATCCTGCCACGGCCGCTGTCGCTACCGCCACAGTTACCAACACGTGTGCTGCTGTGGATCCGCGTGTGGTCCCAAATCCCGCGTGGGCTCGACTGCGCCTGGAAAAATCAATCAACATCGAATCGAGAAATCAGGTCGAAACGGAATGTGCATTGTGTCGAAACGGATTGGCCGCAACAGCGGCATGCAAGCATCGGGCCAGATCGGTCAGAATCTTCGGATACGAATCGGATCGGGCCGGCCGAAACCGATATAGAATTGGATCGATATCGGATAGGAACAGATCCTGGCCTGGCAACTCATCGCACGGCGGGAGCACTCGAAGGACCCAAACGGCAAATCCGCCGATCCGCCGTGTGAGGTTCAAAAAGCGCCTGAGCTTCAGCGCTGCTGGGAGGGGTGCCGGGGTAGCTGCGCCGGGGAGTGGGGAGGGGGGACCTTTCTTGGGGGGCCTCGGACCCGTCAAAATCTACAATTCAGGACCTCTTAGGCTGTACACAATCGCTGAACTATCGGACCCAGGTAGCCTCCAGTCGGCCGCAAAAACGCCCAAGACGTCCCAAAGGCCCCAAAAGCACCCCCAAGAGGGCGCCAAGAAGCAAAAACCATTCAATTTCTGTAATGGGAACCTACGTTG